TTCCTTACATATAGCCATCAAAAGTTAATTATTAACATCAGATTCTCCTACTTTTATGGAAAGCTGAAGCTTGCACAAAGTACGAAATTATTTGTGATATACATATATAAATATAGAAAATTTGGTCATCTAATACTATGAAGTATGTTTAAGTTCCTCTTCATAATAGACACTTGAGATTCCAGTCTAGTTATCTAATAAAAAAAGCGGAATACTAAAGTAAATGTAAAATAAATATACAAAATCTCTTGTACAATCAAAGCTCTCAATGTATACGTTAATTATGCCTTCATTACGTATCGGCAAGAATGTATAATTTATAGGCACATTTTATGACGCATTAAAATTTGTCATTAAAAAGTTGAATGTATACAGTCTTCATCTCAATTCTTTTGCGATTCTCATAAAAATATTGAGGAAAGAACATTTATTAATGCTAATATGGAACTATGTTTAATGCTTCGGAATGCCAGCAAAATGTACTTTCTTTCCTAGACAATCTAAATTCTCCATTAAGCTCGACGTAAAACTGAACTCCGAACTGCTCTCGTCATCCGGATCTCTGTAATAGAAAATACATAAAATGTGTTAAACTTGTTATTCGTCTTTCAATATTTAAAATAGTGAAACACTGTTCAATCACGTACAATGTATCTAAACTCGTCAGACTGCCGTTTAGCTCCGGTATATTGGAAGAACCTTCAATTTTTAATAATTCTAAAAAGGAATTCACGGTTGCTACATAAATGCTTTTCGGGCCACCAACTCCTAAGTACCGAGGACTAGATAACTCGATTAAGATGCGCTCCGGATTTTTCGTCGACGAAGTGTATGCATTTTTATCGAGTTTCACAATTTCCACCGATGAAAAATGAATGATGAATAAATAGGGTTTACGGAATGCTGTAAAAACATAAATATTATTACCTTCGTGTATTAAATTATCACATGTTAATGTTATAAAGTTTGTTTACCGAAAGCGAAAGGTAAATGATTCCACGTTGGATCGATACTACGAGTTCTTTGGCCATTTTCATTTACAAACATTCCAAATTCATTATAGCAGAGCAATAGCTCCACTTTTCCAGGTACAGGGGAGACATTTAAAACGCAAACGGGGAAAATGCCTAGTTTCGCTACTCCAGATAGCGCTGCTTTCACCGAGCTATCATCTTCTTCCGGAAACTCTGCAATATTAAATTCAACTGTTAATAACTGAATTATTCATTTATTATGATAATCAGACTATTTTATTCACCATCTACACAATAAGTCTGAAGATCGATCTGGAAAAACTTATTACATCCTACTATAAGGATATTCTGAGTAAATATAGCACAGCTACATGGTTCGGTCGTTTCAAGTTCTCGGACTCCAATAAATTCTCCAGACTCCTCTCCCGTATGCCATTTGAGCAATCTAATCACAAATTTTTATTAAACATAATATCAGGTATTGAATAAAGATAAGTGACACCAAAAGAATCGTACATCACGTGGGTCGCTGTTGCTGCGCAAAGCATATCTTCTTCTAATTGATATAAATGGCAACTATCAGTGCCAGTTAAAACTGGCGTCGTGTTAATTGCTGGCCTCGAGTATTCGGCAGCAACGGCATTGCTCCTTAATTGCCTTAAACCACAAGATACTAATTGCCTATTTTCACCAGCTATCATTAAAGCTATTCCTAAATGCGGATGCAAAGTTAATTGGTGCACTCTCGTCACCCCGCGGATTGCAGTGAGTGTCCGTGATTTGACGCCGCAGTATGAAAACAAACCTTCCTCGGCACCTAATAAAAGTACATTCTCTTCCGGCAAATTTACAGCACAGTTTAAGTCCAACTAAAAAATGCACACGCGCTATCAGCCGAACGTAGCTCTTATAACTAGAATATCATTTAGAAGTAAAAAACTTGCTTACCTGATTTTTCTCTAGTCTTAATATGGTCTGATACTTTTTACTCTTATGAATATTACTCGAGTTAGTCTGACTAGTAACTAACTTTAAGGCCTTCAACCAGTTCTTCTTATCGGTATGACTTAAAGCCATAATGTCTAAACGTGATGTTGGCCAACAAGTGGTCGATGAATTCGATTCCACTCTGAAGATGAACTGTATATCAGATTTTGCTGTTCCCATCACATCAGGCTGATGCACAGTATCTAATACTGTGAATCCATCTTTGTCGATTAAATCTAAACGATTGACAGGCGACATTCCAGGGGACGGCTGGTGATCGTAAGTACATAAACAAGATTCTTCTAATCTAAGATACTTCCTATCCCAACATGTTTTCGAGCGATCTGGCACTTTCACCCAGCTTTCCATTGATGCATTACAGCTTTTGTTCTGTGGCTCGCATACATCCTGTTTAAAAGGATATATTATAACAAATTATATTACAAAATACGCAATGATGATATGAAATGTATACCTTCTCCGGTTGATCCGGTTGATCTATAGATAGAGTTTGAACGCTTCCGGTCAATAAACTTTCATCGCTGTTTCTCCAACTTTTGCCAAACTGTTTGACGAAACCTCCGGGTAGACCACACGTAGCGGGAATGTTAACTGCACACTTTAAGTGTGTCATTACTTGACATTCGCTGCAAATTGCCGCACGTTTTCCAAATTGAATCGAGTCAAAACACGCTGAGCACTTTCCAGCACGCATAGGTAAACCAACTTCAAATCGATGCGGAATGTTATGTCCGATTCTTTGCGGCGTTAAACGTTTAGACAACGAGCTAGTTAGTTGTTCCGTAGTATAATTGACGTTTCTGATATCGGGCGGTGCTGTGGGAGATGAAGGTGCTGACGTTATGTGCATGGCTTTCAAGGCTAACAATTGATCAGTCAACGCTTTGACTTTGGCGCGTTCTTTAGTCAACTGATTCTCCAGTTCTCGATACCCTACTGGCATTCCAATGCCACTAGGCGGTACATTCTCTTTATGTTTGGGGCCAAGAATTTTATCGCACATTGTTTTCTTCTTTTTACTACATTCTTCCAATTTCAGCTGCAAATAATCGATCAGCTTGGTTTGCTGCTGTCTGGTACTCTCAGCTTTTACTTCTCTTTCTTGATAGAACTGTCGCATTTCCTCCAAGATGCTTTCTAACTCGGATATCCTCGTACGAAGTTCCTGGCCTTGATCTATGCTGTTCTGCAAATCGTTCATTAACGCGAAATTCGCCTCTTTTAACTCGTGAACTCTCGTCAAGTGTTGACTGCTTTCTTCTTTGACCATTCTCGATTCACCTTTCGTAGCTTCTAATGAACGTTTCACCTCGGAGAGTTCGTACTCCAGTTCTCCGCATTTATTAGTCAGATCTTCAACTTGGCTGCTTAGTTCTTGTACGAGCTGCTTATATTGATCCCTCTGTGTGATCAAGCTATTCCTTTCGCTCTCGATATCACTAATTTCCGACTCGAGCCTCTCAATGTTCCGTTCCACGGTCAGCCTCCGTGATCTTTCCTCGTTCTGTGCCGTACGCGCTTCGCGAAGCTTCGACTCGGTAGCTTCCAAATCTTTCTGCAATTTCATTTTATCTTGTATCAAAATATTCTCTCGCGTCTCGTGATCACTTGTTAGTCTCTCGTAATCCGTCAATTGTTCCTCGAGCACCGTACAAGTTTCCTTTAGAAGTTCGGTGTTCAGTTCATACCCTCTAATTTCTTGTTCTAATTTTTCTATCTTTGATTCGAACTCTCGTTTTTCTTCGCTGTGTTTCGCGATACTTTGCGATAAACGATGATTCTCGGTGGTCAAACTATCGACCCGATCTTCGTTGGCCCGGACTTGTTTCCGTGCCGCGTCTAATTCTCTGCGCAGAGAAGCACTCGATGATTGAAGCTCTTCCATCTGATGGTTAGCCTGAGTCAAAGTTCTTTGAGCGGAATCAGCTTGCAATTTATTTCTCGAAGATTCTTTCGTAATATCATTCAATGATGCTTTTGCGCTATTCAGTTCCTTAAGCAATCTTTTAGATTTCTCTTCTTCCTCTTTCACTTTTTGATCTAACCTTTCGATCAATTTCTGCTTCTCTTCCTGCAACGTTTTAATTTTTTCATCTGCCTTTTTACTTTCTCTCACTGCGATTCGTTTATCCAAATTCGCGTCTGATAGTTCCTTTTCCTTCTTCCATAAATTAAGCTGCATTTGCTTGGTGATTTGACGTTCTGCACTTAAATTTTCCTTCATCGTTTGAAGCTCCTGTTCCAATTTCCGCACTTGCTCCTGCAAGTGCGTATCTGTCTTTACTATCTCCATTTTAGATATCGTACTAGTACTTGGCACTTGTACAGTCTCCAATTTGAGTGTAGCATTCTCTGTTTCCAATTTAGTAACGCTTTGCTCCAAGCGTCGCAACAATTCTTCTAGATTACCGACTTTACGCAAATGCTCTTCTTCTTTATCAAGAGAATCCTGTAATCTTTTCTGTAACGCAGCTTTGTCTTGAGCAACTTGTTCCAAGTTTAGAGCAAGAGCTTCGCTCTGTTCCAAATTCATCATTGTTTCAGTCAAGTCAGATTTTATTACCTTTAAAAAACATTTATTAATGAGAACAAAAACCTATAGCGCAGATAAATAATTATATAAGACTGAACATTGATAATCTACCTGTAACTGCTGTTTCAATTGTTCATTTTCCAGCTTCGTAATTTCCAACTGTTCTTGTAACGTGGCGACCATTTGTTCTGATGCAATAGCATTTTCTAATTGCTTTGATCTTTCTTGCAATTGTTTTTTTAATGCTTCTATTTCTGTATCTCTGGCTGGTATTGTTGCCTGTATGCTACGTAACTGTTCCTGACAGTCTTTCAGCTCATTCTGAGCTAATTCCAAAGCGACATTCAGTCTTGATTGACGACAATGGTTAGAATCTTGTTCATTCCTTAGTTTAGTTTCTAAATCTGTGTTCTTCGCTACCTCCAAATCTAATTTTGACCTAAGTTCTGCTATCTGATTATGAGCCCTTGCTGCTATCTCTTCCAGTTTGGTTTCAACACCTTGAACACTTTGTCTATTAAGCTCTCTTGTTTTAGCCAGGGATTCCTTATATTGCATCTAATCAAATAATAATTATCTCTATCTGTCTCAGTAACAATTATTTTAGCTTCTAGACATTACCTTACCTGAAATACTCTAAGTTTGTGCAATTCTGCATTAGCTGTCTCAAGTTCACATTCTGTCCTTTGTAATCTTGAACTCATCTCATTGTTGCTAGTACATAATTCTGTTATCCTAACGGTTTGTGATTCAATATGTTTATTTAACTGAGCTATCTTTTCCCTCTCAGCATTCTCCCATTTACGCTTAGCATCTTTTATTAAGCTAAGAGCCCTTGTTTCTAAATCTCTCCTTTCTTGACGTTCTAACTCTGTCATTATAAAGTAATGGTTATGATTTATAAATCCAAAGTATCAGTCTTTGCCAATCAGGATTATTATTGTACTTAAGTATATAATAATATACATAATAGAAAAGGGTTTTGCATATCAAATATTAAAAATTAATTATGGATGTAATATATAAAGGAAAAAGACATGGTCTTGGTCTTAAAAAGGTTTCCATATGACCTGTCTACTGATCAATGTAGTAGTAAATATATATATATATATATACATAGACACAATCTTAAAACTTGCAGAGTACAAGTTGAGATAAAAGTGGACAGAGATTAACTTGTGTCTCAAACTGTTCACATATGATTATCAAATTAATTTACCTAGTGTCCTTTTTATGCCAGTCAACTCAGATTTTGTTGTGATCAACTCCCTTTCGAGAGTGTCTCTCTCTTTACTAAATGATTCCAATCTTTTCGTTTTTTCCTTTATCTGAGCTTCTAATTGTGTCATCGTGCTAACTTTGTCTTGAAGCTCGAATATCTTTTTCTGTTTCTCTTGGATATCCTTCTTCTTGCTATTCAGTTGAGCTTCCAGTTCGCTTTTCTCTAAAGAACATTTGTCCAACTGAGAGGAAGAACGTTTGTGAAACTTAAACGTTTCCGTAAAGCTTTCCATCGTGAAAATATTATGTTTAAACTTATATGCACGGTTTGTTTTAAGACTATTCTATTCTTCATAACCAACTCACTAACGGTCGCGAACTAAACTCCATGTTTGTAATTCAAAATTTTGTTTGACGCCGAAGCACTATTAAACGCCACAGAGGGCGATTCAATAGAACCGTTCAGCCCTCTAGATTCTCGGTCGATCAAAAGAATTGATCAAGCCGAATGAACGCGTCGATTAAATTATTTATAATAATGATTGCTCAGAAAGAGGAAAGTGTAAGGAACGATTAATAAAGGTAAACTTCGCAAGCTTAGATGTAAAAAAATTAAATGATTTTATTGTGAATAATAAGTAAATTCTATAACTCAATCCTCCTCTTATGAAGTTTCATCTTTCGAATCATTTGTAGCAAAAACATTTATTTATAAAAGAGTCATATATTGACTATCGTTTAAACTATATAATATTAATACGGGCCGTTGCTTCTCTTTCCTAACTTCCTGCATCTCTTCGCATATTTCTTTTATATATTTCTTATGTCGCGGATGTCTGAAAGAAAAGAGGAAATTATGAATCATTCGATTTGATAAGTTCTTAAAAAGATTTTCCTAACACAAGGCACAAATAGTTAAAACTTACTTATCTATAATAACTTGTATACTTTTTAAGAAATTTTGGTTCTCCTCGTCGATCTCCAAGAAACTTATTATCGTTCGTATAACATTCATTTCTAAAAATACTGCAAAAACTTCGATTGGTATTTTATGCGTTATCCTCTGGAAATGGGGGGACATTTGTGCTATCATAGAATTTTTCAAACTTCTCCTGGAGCTACTAGAAAGTTTATCTCTTTCCGATAAGATGAAATTAATATTGACGTTAACTGGATTATTACTCGAGAAACTATCAGTTGCTGAAGTTTTGCTTTCAGATCTATTTAGGATGGGTGTAGAGCTTTCCAATCTTTGAAAGAATTCCGCAATTTCTTGATTGCCCATTCTCTTTTCTTGGAACCTATCGCGTTCCCAGCTTTGTATTCTTACACTTCCCATTTCACTGCTTTTCAGTAGGATAACGTGATTGATCGAATTTTCTCGGCAATGTTCAAGTATTTCTTCGAGGGACGGAATATCTAAAATCGTTACTCTCAGTCCGAGATTCCACAATTCTTTTAGAAGATCGATCATTTCCTTCTCTCGATTACGATTGCCTATGCAAGAGATGGCTACGTCAATTCCATATTTACAGTCCAAGGAATCCGTCATCTCCGAGACTGCGGAAACGAGTTTCTCTAATGAAATACTTATTCCAGCGCCGTATTGCTTAATCTCTTTGCTAGCCATTTCGGTAGGTTCAAGAATCTTTTTAAAAGAATTAAGCATCTTATCGTAACGACCTCCTGCTGATATTACTTCCTCTCCACTTCTTCTTTTATGTCTTGTAACTTCGCAAGTTATTTGATAAATTATACCACTGTGTTGATTTATGTTATGTACTAGAAGAGGTACGACGACCACTAGCCACTGTAACGATTATATCATATTTTTATGTGTTAGAATAACTTTTTCATACAAAATTGTGCGATATAATCTTACCTTCACACCAAGCGCTTCTATATTTTCCGTAACTGTCTCGATCTCTTTTAATCCTTCTCTAGCTAAAGCAGCAGCGTCTCCTTTTCTTCGTGTAATCGTTTTTAAGACACTACGAATTTTAGCAATAGAGCTCTCAGTTTCAAATAAATTAAATAACGTCTCCATTGCTTGATCGGTTAGACACAAGCTTATCAAATGCGTCTGCACTTGAAACTTAGTAAACTTCCCATCGCGCGCGTCTCGAAGAATCGAATACATATCTTGATATTTTTCTTGATCGATTCCGCAGTACATTAGCACAGCTTGTAATAAGGACGTATGATTCAAGCGAATAGTAAAATTTCGTTCTTGCAACGGAGGTAACTCGTTGATAATTTCCCAAACGATATATATCAGTTCGGCTTCCATTAAAAGATTATCAGGCGTCGGACTTATTATATCGAACGCGCATTCATAGAGTTCTCTAGGGTGAAAGCCTAGTACCTATTAATGATATAAAAGTGTCGAACAAATTTTTTTCATAGCAATGTACGCATGACAAATGATAATACCTTCTTCTCCCTAAAAACTCTTTCAATAGCGTATCTCCTGATATGAGGCACATTGTTCCATACAACGTATCTTGCGAACGGCGTACGTAGATCGTGGGGAATACAAACGATATTTCCGTTTCGCGTCATTAATTGAACATTGGAGTTTGAAAAATTGCAGAACTGCTGGGACTTCGGTATCAGTAAAGGTGTTCCTAAATAAACGCCTCCATGCCTTTGAAAAACTTCGATAACTTTGCGCTTCACTCTTTCCTGATTTCTCTTCCAAGAGATAGAGTTCACATGAACCTTGCTGGGTAAGTTCATATCGTAGGTGAAATCCTCCGCGGGACTAACTTCTTGCATGAAACAACAAGATATCAAGTACTTGTACGCTTTACTTTGATTATTTGAAAGAGTGCGTCGAATCATTTCTTGTAATTCTGTTTCCTCGAGACGCTGAGGAGGTAAATAATCAGAAGAAAGTAGTTCTTGAGCTGTGGGTCGCTGGCTAGGATCATGATTTAATAACCAGCTGTAACAGAGAGCTAATAATTAATACTAGTAATGAGATATTTAAAAATAACAATTATTTCATTTATTACGACGGTACCGTAAGATATGAACTTGTCGTGACATATCAGATTGTTGTATTTCTGGAGGAAGTACAATTTCTTTCAATCGCAAATTGTGTAAAACTTTGATGCGCTCCATTCCTGTGGCTAGGGGTTTGTAACACATTTCGAACAGTATGATACCAAGGCTGTAAATATCGACTTTTTGATTGTAAATGGCTTTCGCTGCTTTCGTCGTAACTTCAGGAGCTACGTAAAGCGCTGTACCTACTTGTCCGGTTAACGAACCCAGATCTTCGGTACCATAACTAAACCCTGCAATTATTCAATGCTTAAATGAATTTGATTTGAAATTCTATGCTCTCTTTTTAAAACTTACCTTTCTCTGTACTTTGACCGTCCTTATCGGTCTCCATTTGAACGAAAGATGACAATATATTTGTTGTCGCCAGACCGAAATCTCCGATTTTTACATGATCATTACTATCCAAAAATATGTTTACTGGTTTCAGATCCCTATGTATCATTCCTTGCTGATGAATATGCGCTAAACCCTCAACGATTTCTCGAAATAATCTCCACACTCTCTCTTGATCTTCATAAAGTCCACTGTCCATCGCCGTACGAAGAGTACTCTTCTCACAGAATTCCATTTGAATATACATAAATTGAATCTCTCTAACTGGCTCTTCTGATTCAGTCACGTTCTTATTTTCATCATCTTTTATATCTGATGCGGATGATTGATAGTTCGTGTCCCTTTCAAACTCTATGCTGTCGGAGGAATCCATTCTCAGTTGCCTTCTGAAAATATTATAAATGGCTTATTGGACAGTAAATACAAGGTGAAATCGGGAAAATATAAAGTGGTGCACAAACTGAATATTTAAAATGAATTTCTTACATAAACCCACAGTCTTCGTCACTGTCACTGTCGCTAGATTCATCGCTATTATCGTCATCACTGTCAGCAGGATGTGTTGTATTCGTACGAGATTTGTATGAAACGTTCCACTCAGCTTCCTTCAAAGGTGGTGCTAATCTTTCAATGTTATCTATTATCGAACTCTGGAAAGTAATCACAAGTTAAAAGCGGTTTGATATTACCTAAAATCCACTCTTCATGTAATAGGCGATATAAAAATAATAATTACACTTGGAGGATCTAGACTTTTATTATCGGAAGTTAGTATAGAGCTATCTATGTCTATTGTATCAGTTATAATGGCACTTTCTATCCATGAATTATAATATCGTACTACGTTCTCGTGATTCATTCGAGACAATAATTTCACTTCTCTAGTAATTTTTCTATTAAGCTGTTTATTCCGTGGATTCAGTTTTATCCGTTTGATAGCATAAATCCCGCCGTCTAACTTATTCTTAACTTTGATAACGTCACCAAAGGCACCTCTGCCAAGCCATTTAAGAATCTCGAATTCATTCGTAATTCTTGAATGACCACCTAACGGAGGCACGTATTGTCGAATATCCACGTCAGGTTTCTCGGGTTGATGATCTTCTTGTTCGTCTCTACGAGGTAGTTTCGGTGGCGATAAAGCATAGCCCAAAGGTGTTTTTATAAACGAGTGTTGCAATAGTTGTTCGACTGACCAACGTTTTCTTTCATCACTGATAAGGCATTTTGATAAAAAATCTTGGAGGTCAGGCTGAAAAATTCGAAAAATTAAAATTTTCGTAAGGAACTTCTATCTCATTATCTTATACTATCAATAATATGCATTTACCTGTGTAATCGTCGTTAGATCAATTCTGTCTCCGGAAACTATAAAGCCATTTAATAAAGAGAACATGAGGACGCCAAAGCGGTAAATATCTATTTTCTTTCCGCCTCTTCCTTGGATACTTGGAAAATCAGGTTCCGGTTTAACTAGTGTACATAACTGATAAATATCAGATAGTCTTCTATTCAGAGAATAGTCAGACAATTTTACTATTCCCGTATGATCAATATAGATACTTGTATCGCGCAAATCCTTGTGGACAACATTATTTTCGTGAAGGTACCTCAAAGCAGATAGAATACCCGTTGCCATGTATCGAAGAAGATCAATATCTACTGGGATATTTTCCAGCAAGAAAAAGGAACAACTAGTACCAATCTAAAATTCAATAACATGTACTTTATGAGATTCAACATTCTTTTCGAATCAGGTACAATACGAAACAGATATCACACTTACTACAAATTCTTGAAGAATATAAACAAATATATTGTCTTCTTCTTGTAAGTACTTCATATTTAAATAATGCACAAGATTTGGGTGATGTAGTTTATGTAAATGGTTTACTTCTTGTTCTAAACTTCCAACTTGTTTCATAATGTGTTGAATACTACTCTGTTCAATGCTATTATTTATCTTTAACGTCCACTCGCTAATTGCGAACAATTCTCCAGTCGTCATGTCTACGCCTGCATACACGACCGACCCCTTGGGACTATGGCCCATGCATTTTGCTCTATATACTTGTCGCTCACCTGTAAGTATCATCATTTTTCTCATATTCAATACGAACTTGTTCAAAAATTTGAACTAAGGCTTATTATCGCTTAACAACTTCAATAAATGATTGACATCTTTGAAGTATTTTATTTTTTTTATTTCAATTTAAAATCGCTATCTAAAAGATCTAGATAAATCCTTTAATATGTACCTCACTGACTGCAATATTTCAGACTTAGAGGGGGTAGAATATCTGAAATCTGGCAGGAAAGGATTTGTTTAAAAGATTCTATCGCGATTAAATTATCGAAATTTCAATCAATCATTAAACATCTTTCCCATTCGTTCGATTATACTATTATTTTACAAACTTCCCTATAAATCTGGCATTTAATTATAAATTTAACGAAATGAAATTGGTTTTCTCCATCCCCTGAAAAAGTACTTTTCTGCAGTTTCGTTATTGCTATTCTTGTTCTACGGTATGTACCTTTATTGTAAACGAAGTGTAACAATTTCGTGCCCTTGTGCTCGCATAAATAACTATCAGAACTTTCTGAACTGCTGACACATCTTCTCCGAGAATAAATCCGTGATCTGTCTTGAGGAGATGACGGTATCGATTGAGACGGATTGTTCGGTTGTTCGCTGTATAGCCAAATGGATTCTTTCCGATTACGATGTTCCGCTTTTAGAGCTTCTTGTCTTTTTTGAATCTCATCTTGCAATACCTGAAATTTATTATTCTGTTGTACGACAATTAAATTTAAAAAAGAAAAAACATGCCTTTTAAATAATTGTAGAACCAATCATAACTGTATGAAAATATTAAATATACTACATAAAGGAAAACTTATTTGCACAAATATGATAAAAGATAATACATTTTACAATAAATTTATGATCAATAATGTTCTCCAACCTGTCTCTCTTTGTCTTCTTTTAATTGTTTTTCTAACATTTCATATTCTATCTTCTCTTGATTCCTAGATACCATTTCGTCATAAAAACTATTATAGCTCGGTTTATTGTGTTTATGTAAATATTTCTGAACATGTTGTGCTAATTCGAAGATCATTACTTCTCCTTGTAACCGCTCACTAAGTTCTACCAAGTCATTATTTAATACTGAAATTTGTGAATGGGATAAGCCTCTACTATTCTGTAATTCTATTTTTGGTGCTCTGTAATTATAAAGAATATAATTAATGGTTTGAGACATTCCTAGTCTATCACTGATATCAATAATTAACATTATCACGCTATAACATATTCTTACTTACTCATCAGGGTATTTATCACTACATATTACATGTAAATCAATTTGTGCATGTACTTCAGCTGGACCTGACATGCCTTGTTGTGGTGTCAAGGTAATTAAAATATCCAATGGTTGCCATTTCCGTTTGGTTTTTCTATCACGTTGATCACGAAGTTCATCCCCAAAGATGCTCTGTAAAAATAAATAACATGTGCACAATAATAACAATAACATTTGCTGATACATAATTAAAAAAATTGCAAACAACAAGATCATTATTTAATTGAAATATAAATCCAAAATGTATACACAAACAATTTGCAATCTATTATACAGTTTACCTTCAAAGCCTCAATTTCGTTTTCCTGTCGATCTTTAAAAGATTCACAGGACATATTTCCTCTTAATACATCACTTGTAATGTTATTATTCAATGTCAAATATTATGCTTCAGTAATCACTGATATTATGGTCATGTAGGCTGAGTATTCAGTATTTAAGTATATAAATGGTTTCTGAATTACCACAATTAATCACTAATTAACATACATTACATTACTTCATAATTGTTAAGAAAAATATACAACTCATACGTATTTTTGAAATGTACCGATATCAAACGAACGATTAGCGCTAGACTAGCGCGACAGAACGTGCGCGCAAAATTATGGCACATATAACATTGGGTATACAATACGCCACGTGGTTTACATCGTTATAGAACAGTTGATTAGAATTTAAAATAATGAAAAACTCAACATTTTTTTCATGTACATATATATATACTCATATTGCATATTCTAATGTAACAGTAAATGGTTAATTTGGTTACAATATCAATGATCCTATAATATATAATTGATGCTACACAATTTTTTAAATTCTTCTACCAAATTTAAGGTAAGATCAATTAATTTTTAATGCAAAATAATGTTAACATTTGACTTATTAGTGAAAGTCTAATATAGAGTTTGTAGTCAGTGAGTACAATACCCTTATTTAATTTCCATATGTTATACTCTTATTGTTTTTATTTGCGTGCATTACTATCCAAGTAAATAGAGTATCATATATAAATATATAAATAAATGCATAATGCATTAGAAAAGCTTTGGAAAGCAATATTCAATCGTATAAATATAACGTTAATGATCTGTTCTACATTTATCAATGACCAAACCTAACATAACACAACCTAGCCTATGATTTTTACTCTCTCGTCTTCTTGTGGTCTCGCCAGTTTTCACAGCCTGTCAGTGTTCTGATGTCAAAAATTATTTACAAAAGTGGTCTGCAATCTGAAAATACAGAAATCTAAAGTTTATAATGAACAGATATAAATGTACAGTTTGATTTCCCACCGAAAATCAAATGTATTACTGTAGTGCGTTGGCAAAATTTGGATAACAATTGTGTGAATATAGGTATACATTGAACATACAGTGGATGTGGATATTTTCTTTCATTTACGTAAAAGTTAACTAACGGCACCAAGATGGTTCTTGCGGATTTAGGACGCAAAATAACATCTGCGCTTCGATCCCTCAGTAATGCAACTGTCATCAATGAAGAGGTAAGTATTCGTATAGCAACATAACCCTAAATCCGTTTTGACATAAGTCATTAAAATTGTAACATATGTTCATTCATTGTATTTGAGAAATATCACATCTATAGAATTTTCCAAATGTTTTATTTGTCTTGAACGTAATAATTTCCTAGTTTCATAAAACTTCAAACTATAAAACAAGTAGTTAATCAAAATAGTAAGCAAATTTTCTTCTTTATTTGTAGGTTTTAAATTCTATGCTAAAAGAGATATGTGCGGCATTACTTGAAGCAGATGTTAATATTAGGCTTGTCAAGAAGCTTAGAGAAAATGTACGCCTTGTCATTGATTTTGATGATATGGCCGGTGGTCTCAATAAGAGACGGATGATACAAAGCGCTGTATTCAAAGAGCTTGTTAAGGTAAGTTGAACCATTTATTAACAATCCAAAAATACGTTTTTAATGCAATTTGATTTGTTACAGCTGATTGATCCTGGAGTTAAAGCGTATCAGCCAATAAAAGGACGGCCGAACATAATCATGTTTGTTGGTCTGCAAGGTTCAGGAAAAACAACCACTTGTACAAAGCTTGCTTATCATTATTTGAAGAAAAACTGGAAAGCATGTTTAGTCTGTGCAGATACTTTTCGTGCTGGTGCATATGATCAGATAAAACAAAATGCAACAAAAGCCAGAATTCCATTTTATGGAAGGTGAATATAGACTTATTAATTATCTATTTCTATTAATCACAATATCAGTAAGACGACTGTTACATCCAACATCATACAAATTTTGTTTGCAGTTATACTGAGGTAGATCCAGTTACAATAGCACAAGATGGTGTGGAGATGTTTAAAAAGGAAGGCTATGAAATTATTATTGTTGACACTAGTGGTAGACATAAGCAAGAAGAGTCCTTGTTCGAAGAAATGCTTCAAGTCGCAAATGCAATAGTAAGGGACTTAATGTTTAATAATTAATTTTAGTCGATGTATGTATTATCTCTGAAATAACAAATAAAAATGTTTACTGCTTACAGCAACCAGATAATATAATATTCGTGATGGACGCAACAATAGGTCAAGCTTGTGAAGCTCAAGCAAAAGCTTTTAAAGAACGTGTTAATGTAGGTTCTATCATTATCACAAAACTTGATGGACATGCGAAAGGAGGTGGTGCTCTTTCAGCGTGAGTGAAAATAATTGCCAAAATGTTTTTTAGACACGTAAAACTTTAATGAAACAATGATTACATAAATATTCTTATTACTAAATGTGCAGGGTTGCCGCAACACAGAGTCCAGTAATCTTCATAGGTACTGGAGAGCACATAGATGATCTAGAACCTTTCAAAACAAAACCTTTCATTAGTAAATTATTGGGTATGGGAGATATTGAAGGACTCATAGACAAAGTGAATGAATTAAACCTTGATGACAATGAGGAACTGTTGGAAAAAATCAAACATGGACAATTTACTTTGAGGGACATGTATGAACAGTTCCAAAATATAATGAAAATGGGACCATTTTCTCAATTAATGGTGAGTTATTGCCAAACTTGTTACTCACTATTCTTACATATAGAAAATTATTCTATTTTTAACGAGATGATTTTGTTAAATAGGGAATGATTCCAGGCTTCAGTCAGGATTTTATGTCGAAAGGTACAGAACAAGATTCAATGGCGAGATTAAAACGTTTAATGACGATTATGGATAGTATGAACGATTCAGGTTATTTTCTTTTATAAATAAGTATAAATCTAGATATACAGAAAATTGTCGTTTGCTAAAAAATAAAAATTTGTGTTCTTCATAGAATTGGATAATAGGGATGGTGCAAAATTATTTAGTAAACAGCCAGGTAGAGTAATAAGAGTGGCACAAGGTTCCGGAGTGACCGAGAAAGAAGTGAAAGATTTAATTACGCAATATACAAAATTCGCCGCGGTTGTAAAGAAAATGGGTGGTATTAAAGGCTTGTTCAAAGCAGGCGATATGTCGAAAAATGTAAACTCATTACAAATGGCGAAGTTCAATCATCAAATGGCAAAAATGATGGATCCAAGAGTTCTTCATCAAATGGGTAATTCTTTCATTATAAACTGATCAAATACATAACTATAAACATTACTGAAGTATTTCGATTCTTTTACAGGTGGTATGCCAGGATTGCAAAATATAATGAAACAACTTCAACAGGGCGCAGCAGGAGGACTTGGAAATTTAATGGGTGGCTTTGGTGGAAAATCATAAAAAATATTTGTTGGCCTGTTATGGCCTGTATGTCGATTGCCTGTCTTTGATATAATTCCTTGTTAAGTATAATTTAATAATAACGGGAAGACGAAAAGGCACAGGGGAAAAGAAGGCAACAAGAGGAAAGGAATAACCTATTAAAGCTTGTACCATTCTTCGAGAATGATCTCTTGAAAATTTTCAGAAAAATTTTTAGGACAAATCTTATGTTCACAGATCTTTTTCAACACGAAACAAATAAAAAATGATGTTCGTTACCATATCTGTGTTTTTAATATGTATAATATACCTATCCTATAATAATTTTTTTGCATGTTCTTTTCATTTCATACAAAATAACATGTTTATATAATTTCTAAATTACATGTGTATAATCTTAGAACAATGTTATTATTTTCGTCCTTATTGGAAATCGAATAAACGTATTTGCAAAGAAACATTTATTTTATTATTTATTTTTACATTTATGTATTATTTATTTTTATATACATATGGGTCGAAAGGGAACGGGTACAGTTGGACGAGAATTAATCAGTCCGTTTGGCGAACGCACAGAAGATACAGTTTCAACTCTTCTGGCCGCAGGGAAGATTTCTCTTGTACCTTTTTTGTAGCAATATCGATTACTGAACTCATTCAGTAAGCCTGAATATTTTATAAGCAGGTGTAACACGAAGAATTAGCAGTGCCTCGGCGATGTTTAGGTCAGTCAAGGTAAAGGAATCGAGAGCGTCAGAGATTCCATTCTTGGTACCTGTCCCCACCACGTAAGACTTCCGGTTAATGCATTTCATTGTTCTCTCCCTCATCAATTTAAATGTTTACGACCGCAGAACTTTTGTATTACAATTGACCAATCAGGAGTCTGACTTCTGAGAAAAGTTTCCTTATGTCCCAATTTTCAACCCTAACTCCGCCCAGAAATCTTCATTTTTGTTGGATCAAATTACATCTTCCCAGATCGACAACGATGTTTCACTGTATCATTTTTTTAAAGCTGAGAACAACGTCACGATCTTAGCAAACTTGCGTATTTTCATTACATAAAACAATTTTCGAAATTACAGTTATCTATCCGTTTCTTTAAAGAAACATTAATTTCCACTCACATTACACAAAGTAAGGCATTGAGAATATGCTGTGTAACAAGGATGAATTTAATAGTCCTCTCAATTCCTTTTTTCCCTTTGAGAATGATTTACTTTTTTCTTTTTTTCTAAACTACGTAAGATTTCTTAGAAAGCTATTGAAAAAACGAATTCACAATGAAATATTATTTAGCAATACGTGCTTGTATAAAGTGATGAGTCAAAACTTAAAATTCTCTGTGACAATAGAGGACAATGATGTGAAGATGAGTTGCTACGGTATCTAAAATAGGCAATATTAAAATGAACAAGTAATACGGAGGTGGCTATGTAGTAGCGGGGGCGTACGTTAGGCTTACATTAGGATATGTAAATTGTTTCATATCCATAGACCTATATACATTATTAATGAAAAAATATATATCATATTTAATTGTTATGCAAATAATTGTAAGAAAATCATTACAATTTAAATAATATTTTAAAACAATTATATATATAATATTATAATAACAAGATTATATATTATATATATATTAGTGCGAGACTGAAGTTTTAGAGATTAGAACGCGTATAATTTATGTATATTGAGAAGTAATAATCATTCAGAGTTTGACAACTGTAAGGAAACTGTCAGAGAAGATGGTCCAAAGAAGGTGGGTACAAGGTTGCGATTGCGATTGGGATGGTAGGGAGATATTGAAGATCAGTGAATCGATATAAAAGAAGAACGAATACTAAAGCAGCGCCAGTTTTAACTTTCTTTTGGGTATCACGCGGAAAAGTAAATTCCATTTAGTGAATCGCACCCATCACGTGTGGATCCACCAAATACGTACGTACTTCTAATTAATATTCATCACAATCTACTCTATAATCTTCAAATTTATTCACAACTTTATGGAACTAGTTATCAATACAACATTTAATTAATAGTTAAATGTAGATCATAATCTGTTTCGTTTTTATTTAAAATATAATTTAGTGAATGTCTCAAATAATATAAAGTGAAACAGTTGAAAGTGTAAATGTTAATTACAAAATGTTAGAAATAAATAACTGAATTAAGAATCCAGATTGGCAAATTTAAGAGCAACAGTAATTCTGTGGTAGTAACCATTTAATCTTACACTACTCTTTTTAAATGTTTGCGAATGTCTAATATAAATCTTTAATACTCTGTACTAATGTTCATTAACGCATCTAGGAATTTTTTATAATCTAGTAAAGTTAAATGTGTAGTTTAAAACAATTAATTCAGTTGTTACATATTGGAAGAAAGTACGAAAGTCAGTTTCGATAAATAACTTCGTACAGACGAAGTCTGCGAAGATCAAGAATGTAATATTACGTATAATATTACTTAACAAGCTGGAAACTAATCATATTTAAATAAGCCACATTACAACATACTTGTGAATTTCGCGAGACTACATTAGCGAAATATCTTAACTTTCGGAAGAAACGCGTCCCACATAAGACCTGAAGAGCAGCATCGATTTATTAACGCGCTTCATTTCGGTCTCGGTAATAAATCGCCGGTTAATGAGAATAATATTTTAATCATAATCGAGAGGTTTAGATCCTAAAACTCTCGAAATTGTATCTATAAATAGTAAGTTGCTAACAAAGTGGAGGAACAAACAACAGAGGCGAGGAAGGGAGAAAGGGAGGTAGAGAGGTAAAGTGAAACATTCTCGAGGTCGACGAAGGAATGACGTGGGCTCCAAAATATCATTCTTGGAATGTAGGACATTAGAAAAGTAAAAATCAAGAATCTGCATGTATGTGTATTCCTTTCTCTTTCGATCGAGACGATGTGGCCTGGATCAGCTATTTCCGGGTTGTGGGTCTTCCTTTTTCCATAAATTAAAATTAATGCTTTTCACCACTTTACTCTGACGCCAGCATCTTTATGTACGCGTATACTTTCCTCGTATTTAGTTACGGAACTTGTCACTCTCTTACATTCGTTCCTAAGTTTATTTTATAACACTGCGATAAACAGGATTACTTATTAGAAAATGATATTCCCGGTCAGAGCTAGACAAATTGATGCATAAATTATTGAAATAAATGTAAACTAAATTTATTGTCTGAGATTCTTATTCAATGCCAGTATTTATTTTTATCCATTAATTATCTGAATATATATTTTTACTTGGAACTGGTGTCTACTTAAGTCTATTCGCATTAGTAGATACGTGAATAGCTATAAAATAGAATGACTAATGGATTAGCAAATATTCTTAACGGATGGAATGCTTCTAGAAGAATGCGTTTTCGCTATTGCATTAAAATTTATTAGCTTCTAGGAGTCAATTTCATCAAATGACCTTTCGAATAATTTATTATATACGTTTTCACCGTAATATTAATACGGATGAATATTGGTAGAATCCAATCAATAAATAGTAAGTATCTGTGATAGTAGCTTTGATGTATTGAGAAAATAGTTCTTGTTATTTAACTACATGATGTCTAAATGAGATATTTAAATACCATTTGTCTTATTATTTCTACAGGTGCGTAGTAAAAATACAAAAGAAATGCTTGTCGTGTCATTAATATTAATCACTACTATTTTTTCGACAAATGGATTCCCAACATCACCTGAAGCTGAGGCTGCTGGCACAGGTCTGTACATCTCTGGTTTCTAAGAATCTCATATTTGTCCAGTCAGACACACGTAATCTATGTATGTAACACACGTATGTAAAATACTTAAAGCTGTAGGTAGAGACGGTTTCGTTTTCCTTGTTAAACGTGTATACATTAATATGTGTATAAATACAAATAACGTAGCATATACTAGTCTAGAGTATGTACAATGACTCACGAAACTATTCGAGTTTTTGTCCACAGAAAACTTTTATGAATGTATTACGCGTGTTACAAAGAAGTTGTGAACTTTGATTAACGCGCAAATGGAACGTAACTATCATAATTTTATTGGTAAAGTTAAAAAAAAAATAGTACAACAATAACGGGACATTGAATCGATTCACCGCTTTTCATGAATGATTAAGCTTTTTATTTTGATTGATTATTAAATAAACTTTTCTAAGTATACTTGTCTTCTTGTTAAAGTGCTGTGTTGTAATGTGCTTCCGTACGCGATTTTTTTTATATCCGAACAGCATTTCAAAATTTTGAAGACCAGGCAGCCACATTTCAAATACCTGACCAACAGAATGTGATATATCAAACACCTGGACAACAGGATGTATTGCTTCAAGCGTCTGGACAACAAAAAGATATATTTCAAAGACCTGAGCAACAGGGCGTAGTGTTTCAAGTGCCTGAACAGCAAGAAGGTACATTTCAAATTCCCGAACAACAAGAAGGGATATTTCAAGTGCCCGAACAGCAACAAGGTGCATTTCAAATTCCCGAACAACAAGAAGGAATATTTCAAGTGCCCGAACAGCAGCAAGATGCATTTCAAATTCCCGAACAACAACAAGCGGTATTTCAAACTCCTGCACAACAGAACGAAGCCGTTTTTCAAACCGGACAAAAAATTAATCAAGGAGAACCTAGTGAAGACTATTTCACTTCCGGCGGTACGAACCTCGCGGGACAGGCAGCCGACTTTACAATTAGTTGCGTCGGAGCGAATAAAATTTGTACCAGTACAAGTGATTGTATAAATGGTTTCATCGATTTCGCTAAAAGTACCATTTATCCTCCGTCTACACAGGTAAAAATCTGTTCAAACGTCTAAACGAATAGTTTAATTTTAAGGAATAACGGTCAGCCTCGTTTGCTTTTTATAGAATCAAGAGTGCAGGATTCAGGATCAAATTTGTTGTACGATTGCGAAAGAACTTCAAGGAACGACTCAAAAATCGTTTACAAAATACAATCCGACTGGTATAGTTAAACAAAACGTTGACCAAAATCCAATAGGTATATTCTCTTTATTTAAAAAAAATTCAGAATTAAATTAATGTTTCTAAAACATATGGGAATAATGTGATTATTACATCAGACTCATCGGCCACTTTTGAGATTCCGACGCATGTGCAACTTGGTTGTGCAGCAGCTCTTCTATGCGTTGAAGAGAAATTTTGTACCCTCGATGGTACGATTAGTTCAGAACCTGTTACGTTCTCAGAGAAACAGTTATATCGACGTGTACCGTTGAACGTAAGTGGAAGTAATGTAATTGAAGATACGATTCGATTTAATCGATTGAATTTTAGAGCTGCAGAAATACGGAAACTGGTACAATCGGTAAATGTTGCCGCGATCCAAATTACGTCGATCCCTGGCCAACGGGCAATCTTCCTGCTAATTATACTGGCGGATTCGACGAGCAAGGATTCCCAACTTTTCTGAATATCGCGAAAGTGCGACCACCTTCTAAGTCACCTACCAAATCTGCTAAAAAACCTGTGCAATATAAGCCTGTGCAATCGTATCCTACACAAACGGTGCAAAAGCCTGAACCAGCGCTAGTACCACAAAATTCTGATGTTTCTATGGAAACGTTAGTACCTCCGAGTATAGTTCAAGACGTGCACACTGATTTCGATAAGGCAAACTTAAGATGCGGCGTGAGAAATAAGGTAAGTATTTAAAAAAAAATACCTTCGTTATTACATAATTTTTGTTACCAGGTAACGCAACAGTCAGAAATACGGGAAGAATCAAAGGCAGTTTTTGGAGAAATACCATGGCAAGCAATGGTTTTACATTCGAAAGAACGGAAAATTCTTTGCTCGGGAGCTTTAATTGGCACCGAAGATATATTAACAGCAGCTAACTGTGTCAACGGGTAAAGTTCGATTCATTAATATAGTAAAAGAATTTCCTATTTGCAGCAAACATATGAGTATGTAAGTACTATGTACCTATTTCAATAGCAGTCAAGTACTCAGTAAATATAAATTATTTAAATTATTAAATTGGACCTGTTAATTGTTATCTTTTGCTACTGAAGCAGGTAAACGTAGTCGCGTATAAATAATTTCCTGATTAATTTCATTAATCGATCTGTTTCATTTATAACTTAAGCCTGTCGCCGAGTGATGTTTCGATAAAATTAGGCGAATGGAAGTTGGGATACGAGCTGAAACACGAAGAACCGTTACCTTTCCAAATTATCAATATAACGTCGATCGACGTGCATCCTAACTACGTACAAGGATATGGAGAACACGACCTCGCGATGTTACATCTCGAAAGACCAGCCACTATGGATCTTCACATAAGTCCTCTCTGTTTGCCAGAACCAAATTATTTTGCGAAAAATAAACAGTGCATTACCACCGGTTGGGGAAAATCCATTCTTCAAGGTAGATAAGAAATACTGAAACCTCCTGGCAGACAATAGACATTTTCATTAAGCACAAAATGATTTTCCGTTTAGCACACTATGCTGGCGCGATCATGCATGTAGTCGACATGAACGTGTTACCGACGGAACATTGCAAAGAACGACTGTTGAGTGGAAATTTTGGAGCGGACAGTGTGAACGGTATCATTTGTGCTGAACCGAAGGAGGAAAAGGATAACGTTTGCGAAACGGACGTTGGAGGACCACTCGCTTGCCGAAACGAACACGGTCTTTACGATTTGATTGGAATTTATAGTCAGGATACGGGATGTCTTCCAACAAATCAGGTAAAATATTTACATATTGAAGGGGACTTGCAATTAGTTACAGGCCCTGAGTAATAAGAGTGCATGCGTGAACAGCAGCTCTCTAGAATTTCGCGAATTCTTGTAGGAAATAACCATTAATTTACATATTGAAGAAATATACATGTAAATTAAAGAGAACTTATCGCAACATAAAATTTTTTAGGTCGCCGTTTTTGCACCGTTGGATCAAGCATGGTTAAAAGGAACCGTATCTGAATCTGTCTTCCAAGAAAGTAAAACGAACGTAAAACACGACGAGCAATTACTATTGAATGATTATAGAAACAGCACCCTGGATGCGGACAATGAGTATCTACCTCCGGTTCAAAAATCATTTACTTAATACTCTGCCATATCTAATGATATTAATCCTTTTTATACTGTATATATGGTAGTTATGGACACAGTTACTATCGCGCACAATGACAATCTTAGAATAAGAACATACAGTCTATTTTTTATTGTATTTTACGAATCGCTGCTACCCCATACACTCTTGTACATTGCATGTTAATTTAAAACAAGTGAAATAAAATATCGTTAATTTAGAACGGCGTTATAAATTAAAACCATATTAAAGCACCTTGAGGTAATTACTCGGAAAAATATTGCTAGAGGAAAACGTGCGTAAAGAATGAGAAACACATTGTATGTATATACAAGAACAATTGAATATGTAAGTACTGTTGGGGTAGAAAAAGACAGGCAGGTGAGACAAAATGTTGTCAACATTAGAACTACTTTTTAAGAGTGTAAATAATTAGCAACTATACCTGGTCACGCGGAAACAATGTATCAGAGATAAAATGAAATCGGTATGACACCCACGTAACCAATAGCACGTACGATACCACAGGTCAGATATCGCGTGCTTTATTATTAGACTGAGAATTTTAATTTTAAAAAGATGTTAATTTCGGAAACGTCATAGGAAAGAAAACAAAATATATTTAGGATACAGATCAACGTTTTGAATTGTTAATTATTAATACAATGAAACATGCGAACTTCGGCTACGGACGGTACCGGCTTTGCAAGATAACACATTCATGAAAGCAAAACGTCCAAGAAAACTATAAGAAAAACGAGAATGCGAAACCAATTTGTTTTTAAGCATTAAATATATTTTCTAAATTGAGAGAATTCTAAAAGCAAGTGAAATTGTAGGTATTAATTACATACATTAATGTATATATCAGATAGAGTACGTTATACATTAATTAATGATTTATAACCTACTCCATGCAGATATTAAGTACACAGGTATACATATG